GATGTAGAGAATTGCTTATTTGGGTAGGTTTTTTTTTTTCGTCTAAATTGACTGACAATTGCTCTCGTGTTCGGTGGTAATCAGAGAGAGTCCAATTATTCCAATCCGTACCGTTCATTTTTATTTTTAGTGAATGAATGAGATCATGCCATGTAAGATTTCTATCTACTATTACAAAAAAACAATTTTCAAAGTAGTGGTTTTCAAAGTACTAAGGTAAGAACTGAGTAATTGGACCCTCTTCGATTACCACCTAATTCGATTACAACCTAATTGGAGAGAGGATCCGGATCTACTATTTCAAATCATAGATGTTATGCTTGGTGTGGATGGAGTACTAGTATTTGTATTAGCCTTAGTTTGTTGCGAGGCATTAAAATTGTGTGATCAAGAACATTGATTGCAATCATGGAGCCCTTTTTCTCCAAGGGCAAAAAGGGGGTTTTTTTTTTGTGTGCAAGTTTCACAAAACCCACATGAAGTTTTGGTCATTTTGAGATAATCCTAAAAACTATGGATATTTCACTCAACCCCCAAAGTTTTCGCATTATTCTGAATCTGTTTTGAGATAATTGCCAACTTCGTGGGGAGTTTTCTAGACAAGTTTTGAGGGTTGAGTGTCATTTTGAAAATTTTGAGGCTAATCTAAGAACCGAGCCAGGTTTTGGAAAATGTGCCCCTTCTTTTTTTGAGATAAAAGGCCTGGGTCTAAACCTTATTGACAGTAAAGTACAGTTGAGTTACAAATATCAGAATACAAATGGATGGAGGGCTATCAAGGAGCAAGAAATTAGCATGGGGCTGTCTGCTTCCATGGATAAAAAGAGCAGGTTAATGGTGGGTTTTGTCTTGTAAACTTGTGACAGTATGTGTGCTAAACTTGTGATGTGTAACTCCTATAGAAGGCAACGCATTCGGGATGTGTTTGCGTTTCCTGTAATCTGTCTCTAGAAAAGAGATCTGTTCTCTAAACTAGTTAAGTTTTCCTTTCTTTGAAATTTTGAAGAATATAGGGATTAGTGACAGTGCTAGATTTCAGTTGTGTCATCGCGTTGGGGGTAGTGATCTCATATCCTCGATTATTCCCGATTGCACAAACCCAGGAGATCTAGTATCCCTCTTCTTTCAAAGGGAAGTACTTGATAATGCAGACCACCTTATGCGCTTTTAGACTTCCAAAAACTCTTCAACATTATAAATTAATATAAAAATTTCAGGAATTTTTCTGGTCATAATGATTAATTCCTATGGATTTTTGCTTTCTAATATGTCTACGAGAAAAAAACAACTTTTCCAGTAGTGAAGCAAGTAATGGTGGTTCTTTTCATCTCTGTAACTTTGATTGTGTTGCCCTTTAAAATTGTAGAAATCCTCCTGCATTGCCACCATGAGTTCTTGTTTCAGTGCAAGTGAGGCCGACATTGAGACGTGTTTCTCTGAAATCATCCGTAATCCGCGTGCAGTCATCGGTTATTTGTGCTTCATGGGTATGTCTTAATGTGTTCTAATGTTATTTTTCATATGAGATCAAATGACTGATAACTAATTGTCAGCCTATATCATGTTACCTGCAGTCTTTTTCCTTGTGATGGTAATGAGCAGTGATCAACTGTCACCCTATAATATTCTGGTACTTATCAACACAAAATTTTCCAACTATTGAAAATGATTCTTTTATCTGATTTAGTTTCTGGTTGTAGCTCTGGCTTGGATTGAGTGTGTGCTTGCTAGCCGCATTTCTCAAGGTATTTTACTGTAAACATCACCAAGATGAAATCCCGATGTCAACTAACAATGAAGAGATGGAGCATGAGGAACAACAGATCGATGTGCCTCCATTTGCAACAAGACAGCAGTTGCCTGATATTAGGATTCAACTTGCTTCTCTTGATCGTGAATTTGATGAGAGAGGTATAATATCTTTTAAGAGTTATAGAGATCGTGACGTCTGTGGTTGGTTAATGATTTTTAGCTTCTTTTCAATTATTTTGTGTAGATTATGATGCTTTGAGGGCATTAGATAATGATATTGTTCCCGACGCTCCGGCAATGACCGACGAACAAATCAATGCTCTTCCCCTTTTCAAGTACAAGGGTCCATCATTCATTGACTCTGCCTATGACATAAATAGGTGAATTTTATGTGTGTTACTTGAAAGGGTTTTTGTGCATATACCCCTTAATCATATGTATTTGCAAAACTAACCCCAAAATCACAGTACTTGCAATACTTGCCCCTTAATCATTCCCTTCGGAAAAACAATACTCCCAACTCATCAAATTTGATGAGTAATATGTAACTGCAGCGCAAAATATCAACATAATGGTCAAATTTTTGCTACCATATTCCATAAAGCCGATGATTTGTGGATTTTGGGGGCCGGGGGAGTATTTTCTTTTTGAAGTTGGTGATTTGGGGGAAGGTTTGAAAATACTGAGATTGCAAATACACATGATTTAAGGGCTATATATATAAAATACCCTACTTTAAAATAAGCATTCTGTGAGTTCTTCCTATATCTTATTATCACTCATTAAATTGTTGTTTTCTTATTTTACAGTCATATATCTTCAGAACAGTTTGCATCATCTTCAACTTTAATTGGAAATGAGGTAGATTGTTTGTTTATATGTCTTTGATCGTGGTAAACTGCAATGTGTTTGAAAGTTACTTGGTCCCTTAGTATCTCCTGGTCCTTACATGTGACAAGCTTGTCGGATATTTCTCAGAGTTGATTATAGGCTTTATTCTTCACCTTAGAGTAGTAAAGTTATCTACAATTACTGCAGATTATGGCTGAAGATGCACTCGAGTGTGGGGTTTGCTTGGAAGAAGTCAATGGAGGTGAACTTATCAGAAGATTGCCTTGCTCCCACCAGGTAATTATAATAATTTTCTTTTCAGTAGTGTACGTATATACAAAGTAAGTCTTTATTTCTGCTGTTATTGATGCACGTTCAGTTGCCTATATAAAGGGCTTGTTTATAGTAACAAGCAATTTCTATTAGAAGAGCTATTTCATATCTTGGATGAAATCAGACCGCTCACAGGAGCATCATCAATTTGATTCAGACTAGGCTGTACGGTACCTAGTCAAATCCAAGCCTTGTTTATGTTTGGAATGGGTTGGGGGCCATTGTCCGACTTGGACATGGGGGAGGATTAGGAGGAAGGGCAGGTTCTTTTCCTCATCCTCGTCCTCAATAGAAATAAGTAGGCCAGAGCTGGGTCTTTCATTCCTGTGCTTCCCTGTGCTATAACACGGCCCACTCTTTTCATATAGGCTCAATCATGGTCTTTTTCTATATCCAAACTCCAAAGTGTGTACCGTAATTTTTTTCAATGGACCCCAAAAATAGAATTCTAAATCTGGAAACAACATCAAATCTGGCACTGATGTCAGTCTGAGTCTGTCTTCCAGATAACTAATCTGGACCGACATTGGTTGCCCAAACACAGATTGCTCACTCACAGACTTCTCTACAGAGACAAATCATGCTAGAGGTCGGTTGTCATTGGTCATGGTTGCTTGGACCTCGAAAGATGTCGTTCTAATTTGTCGAGCTTTCTGCTAAGTTTCTTCACCTTTGTATTCATGTTGATGTCAAATCGGTGTCGGTTTGCTTCCCTTTGTCTTCAATGCAAGTCATAATCAATAAAAAAAAATCTCCTTCTCTCATCCAAATTCAGATCAAAGTGATTCTAATCAAGGTGAAATGTTGATTCCACCTTGAAAGAAAAGATGGCTATGCGCATGCATACATGTCATGCATGTGCATGGAATCACTAGAATTATGGTGAAAACTCAGAACACCATTTATTATTACATGATATTTTACATAACATTTGGTAAAATATTGACGATAGCTACAAGAATCTTACATCCATCAAACACATATGTATATCCTCTTATGTTGATAGCTTTAAACCCTTGCCAAATGATTACATCGAGAATCTCGAGACCTTTACATTCCGTTATCTAACAAGCATGAAAGATTAGAGACTATGGCATGTTTATTTAGGATTTTCAAAGGAACGAGAGTAGATCTACTATTTTCCTCACTCTACCTTTTATTCTCCTTGGCTTCTTGTACTGCAATTCTCTAGGAAGATTTAGACTGTCTACTTCTAATGTCATTCATGCAGGAGCGGTGAAACATCCACAGGAAGCTCAAAACCAATTCTCGAAGACAGATTGTCTTGCGAGGAAGACAAATATATTTTGTAGTTCTTCAAGAAGGATAAGCTAGACATGGTGTTCAATAAAATAGCTAACCTTGTCTAATGGAGGTGGTATGACTTAACTCCATCTCCACAAATGTTTTAAGTCATAATCTATGGAGGCCTCTGAGGGACAGGTGTAGCTTGTAAAAGGAAATAGAAGAAGATTATTATTCTTTCCTTTTCAATTAGTAACTAATATAGCAATAAAAGAAACTATGGATTCCTATGAATGTGTAATATAACAATAATGTCTTCTTGTAAGAATTCCCATCATAACATTTATTTTGAAAATTTGAACAATTCTCACCTTTTCATTTAATTGCCTTTTTTCTCTTCCCATTTTGACATAAATTAGTACTATTTACATGAGTGTTGAAGGAATTGCTTGCTAGTGCATGATGGACACTCAGGTTTCTCATGATTCGTATTGCACAAATTGACTTTTGGATCCCTATGACCAGTGCTTGATGATTTGATCAATTCTAAGACTCCAAAAAGTGTTAAGGAGTGTCCCACATTCATTCGGTTAAGTTTGGGTTTGGTTTAGAAAAAGGCATGACATGTGATTTAGCCCTACATCAGGAGAAGACTTAGATGAATATATGCTTAAATAAGCTCAGTCTTATAACTCAAATATGATTAATTCTTTTCACTCAATTGGACCTAAGCAAATTACCCTAGCTAGTCCATTCTATTGATGTGCCTCTACAACCCTAACACAAAGTACTATCAATACTCTTGACATCCTCCTAATGTGTTCATCTAAACACGAGACTGAACACTTGTGAGAAAAAAGAGCAGATGGATGGACAAGTGATTAAAATTCAAGAAGTTCTCAAACGTTTTTGATCTCGTCAAACACTACTAGGCATACAGTTGTAGAAACTCATTGTACGATTATTCAGAAAGTTCCATGCAAAAAGAACCAAAAAAAAATGGCAAGCGCTTCTTCGAGGCTTTTTCGTATTAAGCAATAGAAGCCATGAGTAAACTACAATAGAAATAAAAGGTGGACGTGGATACGGTTATCTACAGATAAATTTGCATGCATATCTGATCAAATACAAACACTAATGTTAAATATCCAAATCCAGTTAGATATAAAGACAATATGTATAGTCATAATTTATTTTTGGTTAAATAAATATATAAATATGGATATAGGTAAAAATATAGATAGGAAAGTGGATATTTAAATATCTCTATCATTTGGATGCTTTTTTTTTTTTTTTTTTTTTTTGACATTAGCAGTTGTGAAGTATATTTTGGTGATTGAGGGTTATAACCTATGTTTCCGGATATGCCGAACACATTGGTTGATTTTGATTCGGGACATTCTCTTTTATTAGATTATTCTTATATAGTCTACATCCTTGAATTTTACTTGCCTTTCTCATATTTGGTTATATATATGTATATGTATATGTCTATGTCTATGTATATATATAAATGTATGTGTGTGTGTGTGTGTATTCTCATTTATTTTATATTCATATGTGCATTTGACAGATACTAATATGAGGTTCCTCATCAAACCATATCCATATTCGTTGCCATATTTTTGATTGGTAAATGAACTGGGATATGTTAAATTTCTACATTTGATTCCTCTCAATTACTAGAACTTTCTATAGGTGCCTTATTTCCAATTCATTTGAGAATATGTTGAGATTACTCTAGCTATTGATTATTTATAGTTACTTTCAAAAGTAATGTAAAATAATGAGAATAAGTCTAAATATTATGGAAGCAAAAGAGATGGTAGGATACTCAATAAGTATTTATTTTTCTAGGACATTATGGCGGTGTATATGAATCTTCTAACTTTTTTTCAACTAGCTGACATTGATGTTAGTTGTCTTTACCTATTTAAGCTATCAATTTGGTAGCACATGTCCTATTATGTTGCACCGACCACCGACTAAGGGGGATTAGATATTCGGTGAAACACCAATAAGATTTGTAGTCCATGAGATCAAGTGGTCAGTATCTTTTGAGATCTATGCACCATAAGTAGAAGTGAATGCGAGATTTAATCTCCAACGATGCACCTTTGATGCTTAAGATTGTTTCATGAAGATGAGAAGATAAGCATTCTTAGGTTTCAATTGTGCTTGCTTTCTCCTCTTTGAGGAGGGGATATTTATACTCTTATGGTTGTTGTTTTGGAAAAGTATGAAGATTTGATCATGATTAGATTATGAGAAAAATTTTGTCGATCTATCAATTTGGGTTGTGACAGGCAGTCTTAACCACGTTTTGTTACCTTTTAAAGGCGCAAATGCCACGAGGTTATTATGGTTCTTCTGATTTGTGTAGATTCTGACTTTATCATAATTGTCTTGTCATGTTCCGCTCATGTATCATATTGCCAACTTAATATATCCCAAACTTCTTTAAAATCATAATCTTGCAGATGGTTTAAGTCATCTTACAACCTCCTAATTTGCCACGTCCTTCACAGATTATCCAAAGGGATTTTTTTTTTCTTTTTTTTTGCATGTAGATCTGACTTCGAGGTCATAGTTAGACCCTTATCATCCTGTTACAGGTTGCACTAAATACATACATACAATTATACTATATTTCGACTTTTTATTATTAACTTACTTGGGTGGGTTGAAGTGTTTCGAGAGCCTATTAGTTAGTCCATCAACGCCTAGCCTCTATTTGAGTACTTGACCTTTTGAAATTAGTATGAGATCCTATCTTTATCACATTTAGCAGGCAGTAAAATTAGGAGACAGGTCTAGTCTAAGAATGGAAACAAATATGGATAATCCACTTTATATATAATTCCATATTCGTTGACAAGTATGTATACCAATAAAGTAAAGTAAAAAATATGTAAGGTAATATAAAAAATACTTGGCATATGGTATACCAATAAGGTAATATAAAAAATACTTGGCATATGGTAATATATATCATAAAATATGCCAAGTTTGTCCAAAAGCACATATATTTCAATGACAAGAAGTACTATCTAAGGTGATATCTTGAACGAAAAGGAAAATGTCGTGTTATTTTTAATTTTACATATACTTATGTTTGTAGATAAAAGACACTGAACTTCTCTACAGAATTTAGGTTGTATGCATAAATACTTGACTACTATTCGAAAAATATTGGAATGTAACTTGAACCAAGATTCACATACAACTTATATTGATATGAGTTAGACTATATGTATCCATATCTGCTGAAAGGAAATTGGTACAAGTATTGTAATAATGCTTTAGGTCTAGTACTTTAGATACAGGATGATATGGGTCTAAATATGACCATGCGGATCTACATGAAAAGAAGCTCTTTGCGTAACTCATGAATACATGACAACATTAAAAGATCTTGAGACAACATTTGAGGGACTTACGAGAGTAAAAAGGTCGATAGTCATTTGTAAGGTTGTAATCTCAAGAAGGTTGGGACACTCTAAATTGGATAATATGACACACGAATGTAGCATGACAAGAAGTTCATGATAAAAATAGAATCTATACAAATTAGAGGATGATAACAATCCCCCTGAGTTTGCACCTGCAAAAGGTAACAATAGGCAGTTAAGATCGGACGTTACTATCCGATTGATAGATTAATAAGACTATCATCGTTTAATCCAATCACGATTCCTCATGTAGTGACATTTGTAAAGAAACCAGTAAAATTAATATGTGTATTGAAAACGGAAGAAACTTCTGCTCGACTGGCAATATTATCGTTTTTTAACAGCACGTTGTTAAGACTGGACGTTTATCTCTATAGCACTTTGTAGTTGAGAGCTTCATTCACATATGCGTATTTAAAGTGGGAGAAGTATTGCACCTTTCCTATCAGGACTACGTTAGATCACTTGTTTTCTTTGGAATTATCTATTCCTACTTTCACATTTCTGAATAAATAAGATGAGTAGATCATCACACAAAGAAAGAAACTTCTTCTAATTTTTAACATACTACCTCTCCTATTAAAAGGATGCGCTTACACTAATGCATATTCCCTAGAGCTGCCCAGCCCGGCCCCGATTTTCGGGATCGAGCCAGGAAAAATGCCTAGGTCGGACCTGAACCCGGGGTGCCAGGCCCGGGCCCGGGCCTGGGCCAAACTGGGCTGGGCTCCAGGCTGGCCCGAATTTTCTTTTTTTGTATTTTTTTATTTTTTTGCTAAAAATTAGATTAATCTTATTATATGTATATATGTATTAGTATATACTTACATATTAGTATATAGCTATATATTATATGTAAGTATATATAAGTATACATTAATGACAGTATACGCTTAAAAATATATATAAGTATGCATTAATGACCATATCATACTATATATATAAATCATATCTCAACTAAATCCCTACATAAAACTAATTTTTTATTTCAATCAAAATAATCCATAAACAATAAACTCATGTATATATACCATATTTTTCAAATTATTAAGAATCATATTATATTATATATATAATCATATTATATATGTAGTATTAGAAATAGGAATTCTTGGTAACCAAGCACCTAAAAAATTTTTGCTTGTAGTGATTGGTCAAATCCCCATCCACTCCCTTCCCATGTTAAAGTGTCCCAAATTTAAATGATGGAGGGAATGTGACACTTTCACTCCAAAACATACCCTATACTTCCATATATAAATATATATATAATATATATAATATATATATATATAAGGGGAAAAGATTCTAGAGTGATACCTTATATTCCACTAAAGGACGCTGCTAAATCACACAACATTCCCTAATGTTTTTAACCGATCCGCTCCGTTGAACTGATCTAACAAGTTCTTGAAACCTAAACACACCCAATTTTGGTAGCCCGTCGTGTTTTGACCCTTCATCCCACTCGCCGTAATTTAAACGTTTCGAATAAATAGAACTTTTTGCACCGGCTCAAACGAAGTCAAAACACGATGGGTTTCACCCTAAAATTATGTGTTTTGGGTTTAAAGAAGGGGGGGGGACGTGTAGATAAGTTCACGGAGCAGATCGGTAAAACAATGATGCTGATTTTAGGCGCGTCCTGAGTTGAATCTCAATGTGTTCACCTTCGATCACTTTTTCAATATTATATATATAACTATTTATATTGACGCACTATATAATATATATCAATACATGTATATATATAATATAATATATAGTATATATATATATACGTAGAACCGTCCCAGGTCGGGCTTCACCGCCCGCTTGAAACCTCCCGATCCTGGCCAAAGGCCCAGCTTTTCCGAGCCTTTACCTACAGGCCCCGGCGTGTTCGACATGTTGAGTAAGTAACAGTCATCACATACTGAAGCCCATTTGGACAGGGCTAATATTCGCCTTTGATGACTGTTAATTCCTCAATGTCCTATCTTGATGAAATAAGTCTCTGTGTATGTTTCCGACACAATCGACATGTTGAGTAAGTTGTCTTTCTTCTTTTGTACAAAATGCAAATATATATACTTCTCCCTGTGTAGCTCTTTCATGAAAAAATTGGTGAAAATGGGACCGCAATTATCTCTTTCAAACTGTATTGCTGTACAATTTATTAGATTTTGGGATATACTGATTTTACTTTTTCAGCCAACAGCCTGCCTACAAATACCTAATTGGCTATTTCTTTTTCTTTTTACAGTTCCATGCAAGTTGCATATATCCATGGCTTCAGCGACATGGTACGTGCCCTCTATGCAAGTCTAATGCAAGCTGTGAAGAGAACGAGAATGGTGTAGAATCTTGAATACGAGCTCTCAGTTTCAGAGCCCGTTGGCAACCAGAGATGTGATCATAGTGAGCATCATGTAACTTCTTTTTTATAATATATAACATTGCAAGTATGTTTTTGCTATAGAACTTCTTGAAGAAATGTTATTATGTTTTTGTTGTTAGGTATCTGCTAATAGCTGGGGTTTGTCAGTATCTTATTTGTGTCTGTTTTTACTAATAGAACTACATATGAGGGATATATTCAGGTTTATCCAAGTCATCTTTATTCCACTTATCTATATGGGTATAGGATAAATCTCACTAAATACCCGAGAAGTCTTGAAATGTCACTTAACCCCACATGTAATCTTGAATACAAGTTTTTAGTTTTGGGCTCATTGGCAATCAGATATAAGATCATAGTGAGCACCATGTAGCCCCTTATATATTATAATATACAACATTGAAAGTATCTTTTTGCTTAATAAATCATAGAAAATGTGTTAATATGTTTTTGGTGTTATGTCAATCTGCTAATAACTGAGGTTTGTCAATATCTTATTTTGTTTCTCTTTTACTCATAGAAATACATACTAGGGGTGTGATCAAGTTAATCTGAGTCATCTTTATTCGACTTGCCTATACGAATAAAGGGCAGGGTTAAAAAAACCCCAAAGAAGTTTGGCCCATTTTGAGATAACCCCTAAAAGGTTTGGAAATGTCACTTTATCTTGAATACAAGTTTTCAGTTTCGGGGCTAATTGGCAATCGGATATATATGATCATAGTCATCATCATGTACTCCCTTTTTGTTATAACATGTAACAATGCAAATGTGTTTTTGCTCAAGAAATCATTGAAGATATGTTGGTGTGTTTTTGGTGTTAAGGTATCTGCTAATACTGAGGTTTGTCAATATCTTACTTTGTTTCCGTTTTTACTAATTGAGATACATACTAGGTATGTGATCAAGTTAATTTGAGTCATGTTTATTCCACTTATCAGGCAGGGAACTGGAAATCCTTAGCATGTAACTTTTCTATGTGGCAAGTTTTATTGTTATTACCCAAGAGGGTCTAGCTAAGTTGCTAAGCTGCCTATGAGTAGTAGTCTAAGGTTTTAGGTTTGATTCTCCTGTGGAGCACCGACAGAAATTTAATTTCCTAGAATACCGGAGGCGAATGCGTTGGGGGGTGCCCCTTAGCCACTCCGGGGGTCCGAAGGATTGCAGTGAAGTTCCCTCGTCAAACCAAAAAAAAAAGTTTTCTTGTTATTACTTTAGGTCAACTTCAAACCAAATCAGCGACTTTGGGGGTAGCAATTACTGTAATAAAAGGGATGCTCCAACGCAATTACTGTCATTAAAGCGATGCTACAACCAATCAACTATGGAGATGTGTGATTACTGTAATTAAATTGTTTAATCTAACATATTGAAGAAATGGAAACAAGGCCTCTAATAATAGGTTCTGTCAAAATCTTACCTCATAATTCCAAGTTTTTCGTGTAAGTGCAAGGTAACTATGAGTACAGAATTTAAAACATCATCCTATCTTGAAAGTATCAACATTGAATCATGTGATGACATCAATTCTTGGCAAGAACAATAGAAATAAAGTATGCACAGGTAATGTGATCATATGCGAGTTTTGTCCATCGGGTTGGATCTCAATGATCCAAGTAAACCACTTCCTTCAAAACAACCTTATGAGCTGAAAGTAACCTGGAATCATAATTCAACAAGACTTATATAGGAAAAAGTATAGAAAGAGAGATAGTAGTTCTACCTAGTTATCAAACTTTAGCAGGCAAATTTGTACAAAAACTAAAGTAGTAAGGTCTCCTTTACTGGGAACTGATCATATAATGAACCTTAATTTCATCTAATTAGGTTTTTTAAACTCATCCATTTGTTAACCAACAATAATTTTAATTGATCTCAACAATAATTTTTGTTATAGGACAAGTATATCAATTTAGTGTGGACTATTTTTTGGCTTTGCTTTTATAATATAATGTGTCAAAGTCCTTTTATTCGACGTATAGCTTTACTTTACTTCCTCCTTTAGTAGGATTTGAACATGGCCTCTGGTTTGCCAATCTTCCGCTTCGCCAATCAACTGTACATCATTTAATTTTTCAAAGACAAATTTTAGAGAACTCTTCATTACTTTCCATCAATGAGAACATTCAGTGTTTCAATTCCAAAATTGCTTTTTAGAGGTGAAAATAGGAAGACCATAACAATTGACTTTAATACTGAACAGATACTAATGACTATTTTTGGAGAGATAAAGGCCTTCGCCCGATTTATTATATATTGTTGAAATAAAAGAAAGAGAAGAAATTTTTCTATCTCGTTACTGATTATGAAGAAGAGAGTAATACTGCATATACGTGTACACCTTGTCGTGTATCTACAAAAGGAAAACTCTAATAAGAAAATGAAAGATAATAAATGACAGTCCGAATAAAAATATACTATATTTAACTGATACATTGAATCTGGGCTCCTATTAAAAGCAAATGAATATCTTCGAACATATAAAAGTGCAGTTACAAAACGAGGAGACTTAACAAAAATGATGCTCTCAGTGAATTGTTTGCATCACATGAAAATAAGAAGTCTATCGGTTATAAGCATGAGGACTATCAGGTAGGACTTTGATCCCCAAAATTTAGCTAGTCAAAGCTGAATTATGAATAATATCTATTGACATCGAACACCTATGACCATTTCCAGAATCATGACGAAATTGTCTTTTTCCCTCGAGTCATTAATTACAAGATTCATAATCCTATCCATGCAAAAGAGTCCAAGCAACAGCTAGCTATGTGACCACAAAACATTAATTCACCAGAGCATAAACTGATTGAAGAAAACTTTTAAGACTACTAAAAACCATGGCAGAAACTAGTCCGAGATGCTTTATATTGGTCTATGCCATTATTTCAATTTTCATGTTTTCTGAGGTGAAGGCTGATTTTGGGAAGGCATGCGAAGGGGACTGGTTTGAATTCATAAGAGAATGCAATAGTTTTATTGCGAAGGATAAACCGCCGATGAATCCATCAAATGAATGTTGCGTGCAGTTCAAGAATGCAGATATCCCTGCTACTGTAGCAAAATCTTCAAGCATTTAGAAGGAATTGTGAGTGTTAAAAAGGTTGCTGATGCTGGCAAATATTGCCAGCGTCCTTTAATGAGTGGAAGCAAATGTGGAAGTAAGTTTGCAGATTTCTTTACCTATATTATTGATTTAATGCTTTACTGATATTATTTTGTTTGGGTTTTCAGGTTACACTGTTCCAAAGGCTTGAGATTGGCAAAAGATGGAGAAAATGAAGAAAAAAAATATTTGTACTAGTTTATGTATGAGAAAATGTACTCTGATGAATGGCATCTAAAACTTATAATAGGGGCATTGAAATATCACCTTTCTTCTTAATTTTGAGGTTCGTTCAACATTCTGCTGAAGTTGAGCATTCAAGCATTGATCTAATGTCAGAATATTTAACATATCATTGTCTCTGCAGGGAAAAAGAATGAATGAGGAAATTCTTCTTACAGAATTGCCAGGCATAGGGGGAAAAAACCAGTTTGTTATGCCTTTTACCCATCTGAGGATACTCATAACAGTGCCAATCCAAGAATTAATATGGATGAAGTGCTCATAGTTATGATCGATACAACTGGTATTTACTACTCAAATGTTTAGGGTAAATATTTAATCACAAATTATTGGTTTCTTGTTCACCAAAGGTTAACACATCACAGTTACCCGGCAAGTTCACTGTAACTTGCATATTTTTCAGAGAGAAAGAAAGATAGGATTTATAGTTGAGGCTAGGGATTTAAGATTGTTGAGAATATAATTACGTTATTAATTAAATTACATATACTTGGTCTATTGAAAATAAGCTCGGTTTCGGTCAGATTCATAGTGATTCTAACTTATCGGCTGTGTTAGGCAACTATCCAAAAAAAAAAACTACACTAGGATTGATCCTAGCCCAGTTTATTCTAACCTAATCAGGAATAAAACGAGGTAAATGGAGTTCCAGAAAGAACTGGTTTAAATTTCACTTTTTGGCCTAAGGAAGTTTTGCCAAAACTTTGATTGGCAGTCAGCGTAAACAGAAAAAATAGAACAGTTTCCCTCAAATTTGTCGAACACGGAAAACCATTAATAGAATCATTATAGTCATTAATTAGAAGATACATAATCCTTTCCATGCAAAAAAAGGTCCAAGCAGCAACCTCTATATATAATCCCAAAACACAATTTCAACTGAGCACAAACTGATATAAGAAATCTTTGAGACTACTGAAAGTCATGGCAAAGATTAGTCTTGGATGCTTTATTTTGGCCTATGCCTTAGTATTTATACTCATGTACTCTCAAGTGAAGGCTGATTTGGGAGAGGGATGTAAGGGGAACTGGTGGAAATTTGCAATAGCATGCAAGAATGCTATCATGCTGAATCTATCGCCGATAAATCCATCAGAAGAATGTTGTGTTCAGTTCAGGGATACAGATATCGCTTGCTATTGTCGCCGAATCTTCAAGTATATAGAGAATATTGTGAGTGTTGAAAAGGTTGCTCATGTTGCCAAGTATTGCCAGCGTCCACTGGAGAGTGGGAGCAAATGTGGAAGTAAGTTTACAGGTTTCTTCGGTTTTATTATTTTTAGTTTTTAGAAGATTTAAGTTGGAAAGATAACACCGATAGTGCTTAGCACTAGCCCAAGACCGTAATACCCGAGAAACCCGAAAGAAACCAAGAGAATAAACCTCTAAGTATGAAGAAGAATATGAAAAACACTTAGAGAACACTTGAAAGACTTTTAGAGAAATGTAGAGAACTTATGAAGAGGAAGACTCTTTATTTGAACTTGCTTTATTCACTTGTTCAACTTTTTCTTCTTGCTTACAAATGAGAGAGGTGAGGAGGTATTTATAGCCTCCCAAAGATATGTTACAAAGGATCTAGATTCTTCTAATATCACCTCCATAGTTCCTAGATATTTTTCTAATCTCTAGAAATTTCTACATAATATCTAAATATTTTTATCACAAATTATCTAGATGTTTCTATACTATTATCTAGATATTTAGCTTAAAGATTTCTCTAGAACACTTTAAGGCGGTGATCAACCTTCTAGAGTGTTTCTAGAAAACCTCTAGAATTTGGACCTAATTTTGGGTTTGGTCAAACTTAGAATAATTCCATCATAAACCCAAAATTAAGCTTGATCCAAAATCAAGTTTAATTTCAATAATTTTGTTTGGTTTTCAGGCTACACCGTTCCAAAGGATTGAGGCTGGCTAAATTACGGAGAAATGAAGGAATAAATGAATTGTACTGGTTTATGAAAAAAAATATTCTGATGAATGGAATCAAAGTCTAATAATATGGGCATCGAAGTATCATCTTTGTTCTTATTTTCTCTGAATCTGCTAATTGCTTTAAACATTCTGTTGAAGCTGACAACTCTAACTTTGATCATAACTCAGAATGTTTTAACCTGTCATTTTGTAACTACATTAGCCTTTGGCCGCTACATATAAAAGTGTCAGAGAAAAAGACCTAAATAATTATTATTGATTAAAGAACCAATACAATTATAGGTTGAAATACGGATACACATAATGGACCATCAACTAATAACCCAATACTTACTTAACTAATTTAACACTCCCCCTCAAGCTGAACTGTAAATATCAATCATGCCTTGCTTGTCACATAAAGTAGAAAACACTTTAGGTCAAGTCGCCTTTGTGAGAATGTACACCAACTGTTCTGAAGGAGTGAATGGAGTGTGAATCAAATCTTTCATCAGTGCATCCGTAATAAAATGGCAATCTGCCTAAATATGTTTTATCTTTTCATGAAAAACAGAACTCTTGACAATGTAAATAGCAGACTGATTATCACAGTGCATAAGCACTGGTCTAGGCTGGACAAAACCAAGTTCTAACATTAGATTTCCCAGCCGCATTATCTAACAAGCTATATGCGCCATCGTCCTATACCGTCTCTACACTAGATCGAGAAACCACATCATATTTCTTACTTCACCTAGTCACTAGATTGCCTCTAACAAATGTGCAATACCTAGTAGTTGACTTCATGTCTCCCTTGTCTCCTAGATACCTCGAACCAGAATAGGTGGAGATATGTACATTTTCACACTTCTTGTAGAGTAAATCTTTACCAAGAGAGCTTTTCACATAGGAAAGAATCCTCAAAGCAGCTCTCCAATGAACCTCTCTAGGTTTGTGCATGAATCGACTGAGAACTCTAACAACATTAGATATATTAGGTCTAGTAACTATAAGGTATATTAACTTTCCAATCAGCCTCCTATACTATTTAGTGTCATAAAAAAGTTTGTTGTCCTCAGACAAGAAATCAGTCAAAAATCAGAAAATAACAGCCACTATTTTCATCCGGTCAGATCAAATCTAAACATTTTTAGCCATATCAAGTAATCAGATCTGATTAAGTTAGCAGCAGTGGCAGTAGGCAACAACAACGACAACAATAATAGAGAGCAGCAGTGGCGGAAGATCAAGGTGGTAGCAGCGGTGATATAGGAAGATAAGGAAGTCGAAAGCGATGAGGAAGAGGAATGGAGATGGTGATAAGAGGATGATGAAAAAGAGATATTATTCATGATGAATGGTATGCACGGATTATCGTTAGCGAAGAACAATACCAAGATGAACAGTGCATGGGTGAATGAACAATGCCGTTTTTATTTTTGAGATTAGGGTTAGTTTTTTTTTCCACAAGGCATGGCTTTAATACCATGTCAGTTATTGATTAGGGAACCAATACAATTATAGGGTTACAATACAGATACAATTAAGACACTTGATTTATTTTAAGAAGGGTCACTTGCACATAGACTCCTTGTAGTGCCGTTGTTTTGAACTTACTGTCCTTGTAATTTCATTGTTAAAGTTAAACCCCTGGGTTGTTTTTATTCTTTTACCCTGCCAACAGAAAAATACTTGCTACAATTTTTCACCGAGGGTAGAAGAGTCACAAGCATTCAACCAAGGGCCTCTCTAGATCCTCATGAATCATATAAAAGGCAGTTTAGTTATGCACTTGTCTCAGAAAGACATCTAGTACCTGGAACTTGCAAGTAACATGGCAACAAAGTTTTTTTTTTTTTTCAGTTGGCCTGGGTTATGGTGATTTCTTATTTAACAAGGGTTCACAATCACAACGCACTGCAAGTAATTGAGACCATCATTAACAATCATGCATCAAGATAATAGGGATTATAAGATTTAATTTCAAGTCATAATTCGAATTTTCCGTGATTTGATATCCAGGGAAAATAATTCATTATTACTTATGTTTTATTTGCCAATAGTACAATAGAGTTAAAAATTGTTGAGTATATGCCAGTTTTCATTCTGTGGAAATGAGCATTCCTAATTAATTGCTATGGAAATTAAAAATTTAAAATAAATTCCCAAATGCTAATTGCTTATAATTACTCATACTAAAAATAAAAAGATTAATTGTCGTCATTCCCTCTTCATTCTCCAATCACATCCAAAGTGAGAATGCAAATGAGCATTCTATTTCCACATTAACTTTATCTCGTTCATTATTTTATTCCATTCTCACTTGACCAGATTGCCCATACTAAGAGAGGCATAAAGGTGAAGATTCCGCGCATAAGACATTCTCATCAGGTTCTATAATAAATAATTTGTGGTCTAAGCCCATACTAAGAGAGGCATAAAGGTGAAGATTCCGCGCATAAGACATTCTCATCAGGTTCTATAATAAATAATTTGTGCTCTACTTAGACCATGTATTTAATTTGATTTGAGGTCAACAGAACAAACAGAGCACAGCTACAGTTTCAAGTTTGAATAGGCACCAATGGCGCCAAAATTTGTTACTGGCAGTTTCTTTTCCAATTAATACAAACTTGTCCTCTTTCTCCACTTATTAATTACAACACCGACAAATCCAAGTTCAAACAAAGCAAAATAAACACTTCTTCTTCGAAGGCTCCCTCCCACAAGCTCCTCCATATAAACCAACCCCAAACCCCCAAGAAAACAAACCCAAACCTGTAACAGAGAAAGAAAGAGAGATGTCAGTACTCAACATGAGATCCTCCGTCGTTGCAGCTGCCATTGTGGCGATCTTTCTTCTCTCCGCGCACCGGACGCAGGCTGAAGTCTGCAACGGGGACCTGACAAAGCTCGGAGAAGTCTGCCAGCAGTTTGTTTTGAAGCCTGGTCCTCAAAAGGATCCATCTCCTGAGTGTTGCCAAGTTATTCAGAGTGCTGATGTTCCTTGTTGCTGTGCTAATATCCCTAAAGGATTAGAGGATATTATTAGTATGGAGAAGGTGGTCTATGTTGCTAAGTTCTGCGGCAAGCCATTGAAGGGTGGATCAAAATGTGGAAGTATGATTAGTGATCTTTTAAATTTCCTTTCTGGGTTTTTTCATTGCGTTATTTGAAGTATGTTTTTGGTTATTTTCAAATTTTTTGTTTGCAGGTTACACAGTTCCACCAATGGCTTGATCTACTTAAGAGATCGAGAGAGAAGGGAGGAGTGAAATCATCTAAAAATGGATGGAAAAATAAGAAGAATGTACTAGTTGGAAGGAAATTTTGAATGAATAATAAATAATTTGTAGTCACTGCTCCGTTGCTAATCTCTTATGACTATGATCTCAAATGTTGATCTATGGAATATTGTTCTCCTGAAGGAATATGACTTCAGAGCAAATCCTAGTGAATCTATAACCACTGGGCGTGTCCCTTGCGGATCGAAAGTTTTCACAATATTACTCCTGTCTTAAAAAAAATCTCATCCCAATCAAATTTCTATGGAAAGAACTCCTATTATCTACAGACGAATTTGTTCTCTCTCCTCCCTCCCACATGTTCAATCTTTTTTTAGCGGTTTCCCCAGAGATCTTTATCATTAACGCAACCTTCATTTTGCTCATTCATGCCCGAAACACCTTGCCGTAAATTTTTATACGTTCATCAATAAGCATTTTGTATCGAAATAGATTGACAGAACTAAAATGATAATACATTGTCCGTAGACCTAAATTTGATTGATGTACCAATTCTATATGCTTTCAATTCACTATTATTACATCAATTTACCTCACAGTCAAGAAAAAATTTGCTACATAGAATATTTACGCAAAACAGACAGTTGTCACATAGAATGACTTCATGAATGGGAAATGCGCTCTTTCTTATACCAAGGAATGAAATTCCTGAATACTCAGTTTTTACGGAAATTTTCGATCAAAGACAAAAAAGAAATGAAGAATGTGATTTATACAGTTAAAAAGAAAAGGAAGAAATAATAAAGACTCAAAGATTGAAAAACGTGACTTGATATCTAACTGCCGATGATCATGTGATGCATTTTCTTTTTATAGTACATATTTACATTGTAACTCCAATAACTTCTCCACATCCAGGAAAGGAGAAATTTCAGCAATACTACTTTTAAAAAAAAGGAACTTAGGTTGATGAAACATTCTAAAAGCTGTCAAGTCTGACTTGTCGCGCGCCTATGCGGAAGCGTTGCACGCACACACAACGAACTTGAGATCACGGAAGAAGAAAGCCACACACTTGCACAAACCAAGCCAATTACAACAAATCAAACCAAACACAGAGATATATGTGGTTCGGTAATTGCCTACGTCCACGGGGAGAGGATGGGGAGATTTCACTATATGGAGGAGAAATACAACAGGTTACAACTCACAAAATCACTCAAATATAACCCTAACCAAAGCTCTCAACTCCCTCACAATATCTCCCTCTCAAAGTGCTCAAAACAATGCTAATTCTCTCATTTTCTCTCTCTAAGAAACCCTAAAAAACGTGGTCCTATTTATAATAAAACACAATCCCAAACAAAGGAGGATTCCCAAACAAAGGAGGATTCTAAAAACGAGTCTGCCACACCCTGCACCATGGGTGTGACAAAGGAGGATTCTAAAAACGAGTCTGCCACACCCTGCACCATGGGTGTGGCAGAGGGTGTGGTGCAGGACAGACTCTACCACACCCATGGCAGACACCACACCAGGGTGTGGTGGAGCCTGTTTTGAGTTATTCTTCACGTTTTTCACAATTCCTTCGCCGTTTTCACAATTCTCCACCTCGGCGAAGTGTTCCCAACACTGAGCCGACACCAACATGAGCACCAATGTGTCGTCTCTCTAAACTCGGCTGCACCAATGTGGTTGCCTACGTACCCCCTCTCCCAAGGGATCAAGCCGCCCGTAGTTCATCCAAATGGCCATCAACGGCCTCAACAATCACGAATGTGCAACAAGTTTCGACAATGATCAAACTTGTTGTTCGGAACAACCTTAGTGAGCATATCCGTCGGATTATCCTTTGTATGGACTTTCACAATCTCCACATCGCCATCTTCAAGAACATCCCGAACGAAATGATAACGAATGTCAATGTGCTTCGTCCTCGCATAAAAAACCTGATTCTTTGCCAAATAGATAGCATTCATGCTATCACAATGAATGGTGACGGACCGCTGCGATCTACCAAGTTCCTCCAAAAGTCCTCGAAGCCAAATAGCCTCATTCACAGCCTCCGTAACGCCATATACTCTGCCTCCGTCGTAGACAAAGCCACCGTAGACTGTAAGGTGCATCTCCAACAGACTGGCGCACGGGTCAAAGTAAACACATATCCCGTAGTAGACCGACGCTTATCCAAATCCCCGGCATAATCCGAATCAACATATCCAATGCACAACTGCCCACCTGTAGTGTCCCGCTCATAAACCAAACAAACATTGAGCGTACCTTGAATGTACCTCAAAATCCATCTCACGGCGTCCCAATGACCCACTCCTGGATCGTGCATGTATCTCGACACCATGCTCACCGCCTGTGATAAATCCGGCCTCGTACATACCATCGCGTACATCAAGCTCCCAACTGCACTCGCATATGGAGTCTTCGTCATCAACTCACGGTCTTTAACTGACTTCGGTGAAAGGCCAGCTGAAAGCTTCAAATGGGCTCCCAAAGGTACACCAACTGGCTTCGTATCCATGTTAATATGGAATCGCTGTAGAACCTTCTTCAAATAAGCCACATGTGTCAAATAAATCTTGCCCTTCTTCTTGTCTCTACCGATCTTCATCCCTAAAATGCGCTTCGCCTAGCCCAAGTCCTTCATCTCAAATTCATTTGAAAGCTGAACTTTCAACTCATCTATAGCTGACCTGGAACTAGAGGCAACCAACATGTCATCGACATAAAGCAACAAATAAATGTACGCACCTCCTCTCAACTTGCGAAAATACACACAAGGATCAAACTGGCGCCGAGTGTACGAATGACCAAGCATAAAACCATCGAATCGCTTATACCACTGTCGAGGAGATTGCTTCAAACCGTATAGTGATTTCTTTAACCTGCAAATCAACTTATCTTTCCCTGCAGCTCGGAATCCCAATGGCTGAGTCATATATATTTCTTCATCAAGATCATCATGAAGAAATGCCGTCTTCACATCCAACTGATCTAACTCCAAACCATACTGTGCCACCAAAGCTAGCAAAATCCGAATCGAAGAGTGCTTCACCACCGGAGAGAAAACCTCATTGTAATCAATACCTTCCTCCTGTGCATAGCCCTTCGCAACCAACCTAGCCTTGAACCTCACTGGAGTGCCCTCAATGCCCTCCTTCTTCGTGTACACCCACTTGCACCCAATCGCCTTCCGCCCCTTTGGAAGCTCAACAAGCTCCCATGTATCGTTCTTATGAAGGGACTACATCTCCTCCTGCATAGCCACCCGTCACGAATCAGCCTCCGAACTCTGCTCGGCCTCTCTGAATATAGTAGGCACCATCTCATCGATACTCTCCACCGAAAGTGCATATGCAACTGTGTCGGCATACCGTGCTGGCACCCGTATGTCTCTCCTCTGTCTCTGTGCCGTAATAGAATCCTGAACCTAAAAAAATATGGTCCTATTTATAATAAAACACAATCCCAAACAAAGGAGGATTCCCAAACAAAGGAGGATTCTAAAAAACGAGTCTGCCACACCCTGCACCATGGGTGTGGCAGAGGGTGTGGTGCAGGATAGATTCTGCCACACCCTGCACCGTGGGTGTGGCAGAGGGTGTGGTGCAGGACAGATTCTACCACACCCATGGCAGACACCACACCAGGGTGTGGTGGAGTCTGTTTTGGGTTATTCTTCACGTTTTTCACAATTCATTCGCCGTTTTCACATGACAGTCATCACAAAACTTCATAGTTCAACCATAATTGCATAATTTAGCCCTTGAATACTGTTCCCAATGGATTTAGGAAGAAGTTGCTTAAAAATTATATCATTCCTGTTGGTTTTGGTCGTGTGAACAATGAAACCTGAAATAATTCTGCGAGGCTGAAAAATCTCAGGTCGGTCGACTGATGGAGGAGATCAGGTCGACTGAAGAGACTACAGGAAACGAGGCTGGAAAAAGTGATCTGGCTAGTCGACCGTGGGCCTTGATCCGGTCAACCGATAACATGCATGAAAACACTGTAAAATAGTGTGTTCTGGCCGGTCGATCGACACTCATGGTCCGGTCGACTAGAATCGGTTTTTCCAGTTTCCTGATTCGTTTGGGAAATTGTTTTGGGCTAGGATGTTATATATACCTAAACGATTTTAGGGTTATAAGCAACATATAAAAAGAGGGTTTTGACGGGATTCTTTCAGAGAGATCTGAGAGAGATAAAAACATATTTGTGGGCATTGTAATCTTCTTCAATTAATCAAGTTTTTGTGGTGTGGCTCCCGAGGACGTAGGCACGTTTGCCGAACCTCGCTAAATCTGGTGTTCTCTTTTCTTCTTATTTTTTTCTGCAACTTTTATTTTTTATTTGCCGTGATTTCTTACTTGCTTACTTTCATCACAAGATCTGGAAGGACACGGGTCCGATTATGAGGTTCGAATCCCTAACAACTGGTATCAGAGCTCCGTTCGGCAGATTTGTGAGAAAGCTATGACAGAAGAAGGCAAATCAAAGATTGAGAAGTTTGACGACTCAGACATCACCTACTGAAAGTCATAAATAAATAACTATCTGTACCAGAAGGATCTTTACCGCCCGTTGATGGGCAAAGCTAAGGGAAAGAAGAAGGAGGAGATAGACAAGGACTAGAAAATACTGTATAGGAAGTCTCTAGGAAAAATCTGGTTGTTGCTCGCCAAATCAGTCACCCATAATATATTGAAGGAGAAGACAATGGTGGGGCTTATGAAAATGCTCACGAAGATGTATGAGCAACCGTCAGCCACAAATAAGGTGCATCTTGTCAAGATGCTCTTCAACCTAAAGATGGCAGAAGGATTTTCCTTCATGATGCATCTCAGCGAGTTCAACACGATTGTTGATCAACTTATCTTCGTCGACATCACGTTTGATGACGAGGTGCAGGCCTTATTGATTCTATCGTAGTTACCGAATAGTTGGCAGGTTGTGTAATCGCAATTAGCAACTCAGCGGGAAAGGAGAAGTTAAAACTGAGCGAGGTTGTTAGCATGATTGTATCCAAGGAGGTTAGAAGGAAGTTGTCTGAATCAGAAGGTTTAGGTTCAGCCCTAAATCTCGAGCAAAGAGGCAGAAGCTAGAAGAAGGAAAAC